GCAAAATGAGCAAGAACGCTCATTTGTACGTCATTCTAGAGATAAATAAATGGCCTTTTTAGCAAGTGAACCATCGATAAGGAAATGTTGGGAGTTTTCTCAAAAAATGCTTGTATTCAAGAAGTTTTAGATTTGCGCGGTTTTTTCTTAGTTGCAAAATCCACTTRAACATRACGCTGCTTTTTTCGAAGTTYGTAACGAAACAAGTAAACTTTGATTTCAATATTTGAACAAYAAAAGCAACAACTAAATACAATTTCAMCTTTAAACCCTTGGAATTTGGGGCAGCCACAGTCGAATGAGGAATGTTTGCACCAATACATTATCAATGAACTGTATGAATCAATCAATGAATCATATATAATATCAATGAATTGTATATGGAATATGTGCCCTAATGCTCCCTAATCTGAATTCTGATAAATGGGGCATCATTTTATGCATAGACAAAGATGTTTTTACAATAACACGCGCATAGAATCAGCCGTTGGTTGTATTTCAACAATGCCATTTACTCCGTACCGTTGTTTAATTTAAGTACCTAGCGAGATACTGTTACTAGGCAGCTACCTAGATGTTGCTATATTGTTCTGTTACGTGCTAAGTGAGGTGTAATCTAAAAATGCCTGGTAATAAATGATAACTTTTACCTTCCGAAAATAATCGCCCAAGGAAATGAAATATTTCCTACTTTTCTTGTCGAATTCAGAAAAACTATATTGAGTAGAACTGTTGGATATTGAATTTTTAAAGCGGTTAAAAGTTTTGAATATCGTTTTTGCTCTTGTTGAGACATGTTTTATGTACAACATGAGGGATCAATAGGCATCTGTAACATTTAAAAAAAATATATAAAACTATCAAATTTTCAGGAATTTTAAGCACATATTTCCCTGAAAGCTTTATTAATATCTGAATTGAAGGAACTATATTTTCCATACGAGGGTTTATAGGAAATTCTTGACCTCTAAACAGATGGAAGTAAAATTATTACATTTTAAAATGCCGTGAAAGTTTATCAGGTTGTTTCTCGGAAACGCTTAAAAATAGCAAAGATATTCTTCATTAGAGCTGTTTTCTCTTAGACAGAACCAAAAATTTTGTATCTTAAGGAGCTCTCCAAGTTTAGGATTTAATAGTGATGAAATAACACAGATATCCTTGAAATAGGCAAATTGTCAAACAATTTAAAACTTAGTTCTTGAAATTATGGGGGACCAAGTGAGGAGAACCTTTCTGTGTCGGATCCCATACATCATACCTAAGTAGCGGTTGAATATTTTTCAATTTTCACTTAAAACCCGCAATATCTTCATCCTCATAATCGGTCACTTTCGAGTCGAAAAACCCTTAATTATCAAATTAACATTATCAATTTTGAGTGCAAGACACCTCACTTGGTAGGTTTGGTCAATGTCTAGTCGATGTGCGTGCCGCAGTCCTGCATGTAGTTGTTTCAGATCGCTCCATGTCACAACGGTCATCAGGGAGCGATGATCACCCAACCCAACCACCTAACCACCATCCACCACCCTCTTCTTCTCATAAGACTACTCACAAACTGCGCTTTGTTTCTTCTGTAGAGTTTAGGCATTCTTCAGGTAAAGTTTCTTTTTCTTTTCGATGTTTCCGTTCACCATTACCGACGGTACAAGCCTAAACAATACTGCATTTTAGTCGTGAGGGCATCTAGCTTTTAACCAGCCTAGTTGTAGTCGTTCCACTGTGAATGAACCTGGACTTTCAAGTCATCTAACGATGTTCAGATTTGTACCTACATTTTCATTTTTCGCACTGTCCCGGTGTCGTTCTTGCTGTGAAGAATTATGCAAGTTTCTTAAATGGTATTGTGACAATCGCTCAATGTTTTAGGCGAAACATCCATTACACCGCTCAGCCCTTCAAGTCCAGTAGAAGAGGAAGAAGTGCATCAAAAGTCCCGGTTACAGCGTATGATGCCCCAGAGCAGGAAAACCTTCAGGCTCAGGAGCAAAAGCCGAAATAAGAGATCCTGCGAAGTGAGTGTTTTGGCCATTTCCTTCATGCTACTTGAGTTGATTTTCTTCTGGTTCACCAGTTGGCTCATCTCAAACTGGAATCGGAAGCATCTTCGCCTCCAGGCTCGCAACCTCTTTCTCCAGCAGCTCAGCAAAGTCCGGCGCAAGTTTTTTCCAGCAGTCTCCACTCTGAGTCGAATACGCCATATTCTCCTCTGTACACCGAATCTTCAAAACCTCCGTCAGTTCCACAATCCCCACTTGTTCAAACGCCTGGTATGCCGTCTCATGTTCCTCTGATTGGACAATTCAGCAACCAATCCACTACGTCCCATGACAGTCAAAAGGTTTGCAAAAAATCTCTTTCGCTGAGCTTTTTAATAACTGTTTTCAATTCAACCTAGATGAGTTATCAGTCAGGGGGGTTCTCCGCGTTGGATCCCCATAGACTTCGTATCGCGACCAGAGGAAAAAGTGCTGAAGGATCGTGGGATGAAGACTCCGCTATTTCACATACGTCTAGTACTTCAGGATACAAGTAAGACGCTGTATAGCGAGGAGAAAAGTAGCAGCTAAAATATCTTTTATGAATTTTAGGGAGTCGTATCCAGTGATGCACTTGAAAGAGACACTGGAAACCAGCCCCAAATTGTTCCCTCCATTAGCGTCTCCTGACTTGCATTCTTTGCCTTCTACCAGCAGTGCGGCGACTAACAATTTCCTGCTAATCGACAACAGGTAGTCAATTTTAAAAATAATTGCAATGTATTCATTCCCCCTTACGCTGCAGCTCCCCAGATTGTTCTTTGAACGACAATGGAGAAAAGACTGCTCTTCTGGAGAAAGAAGAGCAATCTTCGTCCAAGGATTCACTACTTATGTTGTTCGATCAGGATGCTCAAGACGAAACCACTTTAATTTAAAACAGATTAGGGAAACCGAAATGCGAAAGTTATGGTGTAATGCGTAGGGAATAGGAATGATATTTTGGACATTATTTTATTTCTCCTATTTTATAACTAGATACTTCCATGAAATGCTAGAGAGCGTTAATTTGTTAGAAAATATAAAATGTAATCGTAAAAAATGTCTTAGATTTAGAACGTCCACTTTACTGGTTCTCGATGTTATCTAGAATAATGATCGCCAAATAAAAACAATTAAAACTTTCCTACAGCTGGTTTTTATAAATCACCACTCAAATTTTTCTTGTTTCCAAAATGTATAATAAAAAATCAAACATTTAGCGTCGCTGTACAGAAACTACCTACCGATAGACTTGTCATCATGACTTACTTATCAAAATTAATTGATGAAAAACGACAAATTCTGGTAGAATGAGCGACAAACCGAAAACGATTATCCATGCCCCTATAGATGTGTATGACGAAGAATTCCACAATAATTTAAAACTCGCCAAGAGTCTCATAAACCAGCTGGGATCCAAAGGAGGTAAGACCTAAGAACAACAGGTTTTAACGGACGACAAGTAAACAACAGATGCATCTATAAATGTATAATTTACTGTAACAAAATGCAATTACCCACAATCACACCTAGAAAAACAGAGTACAATTCACAGATATTTTCGCAAATACCTAGATTGATCCTGATATCACACAAAGGCTCAACGGGAAATAAAAGTTTATCTCCTAGAGCCTGTTGTCTCATAGGCTCAACGAACAAACCTAAATCGATAAAAATATTTTGAAGCTTGCTAGCATTTAAAGCATTAAATTATAATTAGAAATGTGCGATTATTTTCTTGCTCATTAGCTTCAGTTTCAAGAGACTCTACTACTGACTACACTAAGATAATACTATAAGATTATAGAACTTACCTACTACTTCCACCTTACAATGTTTGGTTTATTGGTGTTTAACTACACAAAACTCTATATTTATTGAATAAGACTCATTTGAGAATGAACATAACTGGGAACCAATCGAATAGTGTTTATTGACAACTAGGGTCTGAAAATGTAATAAAATCGATATTATATACCTACTTCACTTATTGTTTATAGAAAATCTCTTGAAACTGGTGAGTACGGCTTTTCGTAGAAAAAAATGATTTTTTTATCGATGTCTGGCAATATAGCCTATGTACAGTGCAATTATACAGGATGTTTGGTACGGCGATGCATTTATTGCAGGGGATCAAAGCACAAAAACATTCAATATTTAATAAAATGAAAAAAATTAAATAAAAAAAATTAATAATAATGCGATTGAAATTTTAATTAGAAACAAAAAAGTAATTTTGAGCAAATTGATTAGCAACTGGGAATGTTGAATGATTTTGGGCGGTTGCCATTGAAAAATATTTTCATTTTCATTAAAATAATTTAATTCTAAAACCACAATTTACGAAAACTAGTGTGGTATTTAATTAAAAGTGAGCAGCACCTTAGTTTTTCCGTAACAGTTTCACTATTTAGATTACTTGCGCTTAACACCCAGCAACGAATGAACCACCAGATCTTACCAAAAGCCCTGTATAACAAAAATTCCTATTTTATATAAAGCAAATAGCAATATGTTTCCTAAGAAAATCCGGCTGAGCAGCTAATTCGAAAAATAATGTAAACCAGCATTAACAGTTTGTTACAGAAATATTCATTATACATGTAGCAGTGTGACTAATTTGAATCACTTTCCGTTTAGGTTAATAGTATTAATACATTTTTTCGGCTTGCTGATTTGTTTTGCACTGTTACAAGCACGGGCGAATAGAGCAGCAAACCGAAAAAAGAAATATTAAATATGACCGAAATGTACACTGTGTAACACCTTTTGTTACAGATAAGCAAATATGTAAAAAATGGATTTCAAAATTGGTGAAAATGAAGTCTGACAATCCTGTAGTTAAAAAAAATAGAAACTCATTTTTCAAATATATGCTGTCAGTAATGGAAAAGGCGATTAAAGACTCTGCATACACAATTGGAACTGACGTACGTAATGCAATTAGCCGTTTTCATCTGCAAGTAAAATTAAATAAATTAAACTCCAAATAATTATTTTATATTGAATTAAATGTTAGTCTTGTCTTGTATTGTATTGCGGCGTTTACCTAAGTATTTTTTTTAGGCGAATCAAGCAATTGAGGATAACCACTTTATGTGCAAATGGTCAAATGACAAAAAAACATACATTGCCGCAAAACCTCTCCCTGGGCTAGGAACGTTAGTATACATGGCAGTATCAAAAGATCCATCATTGGGTTGGGACCATCCTTAGATAAATTCCACAAACCTTATCGTAAAAATAAATAATTGCCTTTACCGATATGAGAGCAAATGTACTGACAAGTTTCTTTTGTAACCGAAAATAATTAAATGAAAGCCAAGCATAAAATCAAATAATTGGCCGCGCAATTATATTACCAAAACAATAATTAATAGTTTTACTGCAGCTTACCGAATATTAGCGCCGCTTTCTCCCCGCTCCGATTTTTCCTCCTGCCCTTTGTCCTTTTGAACCTTTCGGTTTCTTACTCGCCTTATTTCTAATTTGGTTTTTCCTCCCACCCTTGACCCTGTCCTGTATGGTTTCAGTCAAATCCAACCTAAACAAGTCGAACACCATTAGTAAACACAAAAATTAGATTTAGAAGACGCTAAATTCATACTTTGTCTGTATCTGTTTGGAAACAGATTTTTCAACGTCGAATTTTGGTCTCTTATTCAAAATTGATTCAACCACATCAAGATTTTGTTTCTTTTCCACGTCTCCTGAAACGGGGGGTAATTTTCTTTTCTTTGAAGCGCCCGGAGTGATTGTTGTCACTCCCGTTGCTTCCTTTTCTTTCGGCAATCTGTCCTGAAACTTTCCCAGACTCGCTGTGGAGGCTTTTGCCACGGTAACGGCTGCTTGAAGGTCCTTAGCTGAAGCAACCTATTACAAAACTCGAGATAGCAAAAATGAAGGTAAAATGTGAAAATTTGTATTGCCTCTGGATTAGTGAGTCCAACTCTTGGAATTTTGATGTTTCTTCTCTTGGCTATGTTTCTCAATCTCTGCAGTTCGTTCTTCGCAACATTTTCTGATTTTGAAACAGTTTTCTTGGCAAACTGGTCTTCAGTAGGATCCGCGTTTTGCGGCACTTCCAAAACCCAATTTTTCTCCTTTTCTGCTTGTGACCTTTTAAATCCAAAAAGCGGCACCCATTTTTGCAACTGATCGTCCCATGAAAGCTTTGACTTTTTCTTCTTCTGAATGCCTGAAAGACACCAAACGAATAATCAAATCTGGGACTAAATGTGCAATCTAGTTACCTTTCTCTTTGGCAAACTGCTCCCATTTAGTCAATTCCTTTGGTTTCGGCACCGGCTTTGCTCGTGGCAAAACGGTCTTTGGAAGAGGCAGTTTTGCCACTATCGCTTCCTCGACTCTTTCTGTTGGTAATTCCCATAACTGGTTTATTAGAAGCTGGGTGTTGTCTCTTGCCAAATCCAAAAGATAACCATTTGCGTCCCGTCTGAAAATAAATTAAAATATTGGTTGGAGAACCCCAAAAACATTAAAAAAAAACATCTAGTCTAGTCACTATACATATAAACTAAAGATTCTAGGCGATGTGTCCATTTAGGTTGGTGGTGAAATTGGCGTAACTCTCTATTGTTGGCTCTATGAAATACAGTTTTCGGACTAATATGCGTCGAGTTTCGTGCGTCTCTCAACCATTATTTGCTAAGCTTAATGCTGGTCATGGCGGGAAGGATTTCTCTGAATCATAGAATGTTTAACTCCTCCTTTTCTCCTAACCACATTTTGAGGCATCTACTTATGTATATCATGTTTGCGGTTTGCCTATGTTGTCCTGTTTGCATGCCTATGTTTTACATGTCTGAACTAAAGACGCCTGGAAATTTTTCCGAAAAGCCCAAAAAACGCTAACGCCCGAAAGTTTAGTTCTACTGACAAAGGGATATCAAAGTGTTGGAAAAATTGGTATTAAAACAGCGAGATCTAAAATTAAGGTTCGGAATGCGTTGCTGATGCTCTCTGTAGGCAGTTTGCTTCAGTGCTTGATCAGACCTTGGTAGATGTTTAGTTCAATCTTATGTGCATCTGCGTCAAACTTGGTTGCCTATTATACATTTTAAGAAGATCGGAAGCTATATCTAAAAACACAGTACTTCCATGAGCCTTAAATATACTATTTTAAAGTGAAAAGTTAACTTTTGGCTGCCGTTTCGGAGCTAATAAATTTAAGCAATAGCCATGAGGCCCATATTGCTCCACCTTCAGTTAATTGGCGAACCATATAACTTGTCGTTTATTTCACAGGCAATTGATTAATGAAAATGCACTAGGGGGACTGAAATGTGGTTTTTACCCCAGTACCATTTTACATCCGAAGCATGGCTGAAAAGTTAGCACTTACTCGAAGTATTGAGCGTTGAATTGGTTGAAGTCGTAAACCAAAAGAGATGCCACATCATATTCCAAATCTATGTGTTTCTCTACAGTAATTGGCTTATATTTGGAACTTTCCTCTTGGGATTTTTGTAAAACTTCGCTCACAACATCCATTTTGGAAAGTGGATTTTCAAATAACCTTACTTTGTTTGGGAAACTCTTGGTGACAGCACGTGTATTAATTCAGTGTCGGCAACACCAATAATAAAATTCAGGGTTAGTATCGACAACGTAACAACATTTGGTTACTATTCTGGTTACTACTGGTCTGGTTGGCAACATTGCCCCCTCTGTTCTGTGGAGATGTTCTGTGCATTTCAATTGACAGCAACCACAGATCACAGGATAGATAAAGACAAGTAGGTGGCAAGACAGAATGACAGAATGAATAACCTCTGTGATCTGTGACAGCAACTGCATTCCTTTTCTCCGGTTCCTTGAAGCAAGTTTTCCTCGTGCCAAAATGGCCAAAAAGAAAACTGATGAAAAGGGCAATGAAACCCCAAAAAATACTAATAACGATGTGTCCAGTGCCAATGAAGAACCGAATTTCAGCGATCCAGAAGATTTCGTGGATGATATCTCCGATTCTGGTGAGTTTGCTGTGAGGTTAAGTTGCCACTGATTACCCTTACGTTGTACAGTCTGAATATGCAATTTCTTGAACAAATTACGTGCTGACAAAGTTCTGTTTTTTAAATAATCCCTTAAATTTAAATATTCCTGACGTTTCTTACTTAGAACCCACAATTTCTAATTCTGATATTGTAAATATGGAACCCAGATGGAGGGTTGATTTGCCCGAAAAACTGGATTTCTACATGTATGTCAAGGGTTTAAAGGGTAATTTGCGTCTCAGCATAAGTGATTTAAGCACTTAATCGCGATGGTTTTCACAATAATAATTTAAAAAAAATGGAGAAAACTAAATCTACACCTTAACATGGTTGAATTCAGAATAAAAAGCGTTTTAGAATTTGCTCTTAAACAGACCGAGCCGCATTGGAAAAGGAACTTCGGAGCATAAAACTGATAATGTATTTCTCTAGCTGACTTAGTTTCTGTGAGAACGTGCAGTCGGTTTTCCTCCAGATTTGTTATTGAAGCCAAAAAATAATATAATCAAAATTCGAAAATTTTGGATAATTACGGCGTTCGATATATCGATATCGTTGGGTAAAAATGGCGAAAGGTGGTTTAACGGTGTTTATTAAAGTCGAAATTATAGTAATTCTTACTACTACCGATATGAGGAAATAATGTTCATAAGAACGTGTGTTATACCGTATTTTATTCACGAATATTTGAGGATTAGTTCAAAGCACTTCACTGCAAAAAGGACATCTGAACCTATAATGCTAAAATGAAAAGTGCTTCTTTATGTTTGCTTCGGAGTCAAAAGTGGTAGTTTTTCATTCATGCTATTAAAAAGGTAGTTTCAAAAGCTTCAGGTTTTCAATAAACTGACCTGGAAAATATACATTAGTTATGAAATAGTTAAATATCGTCGCTTTATTTTTAAATGTTATTTAATTTTAAACGATTTGTAAATGTCTGCTGTTCATTCTAGTTAATGTTGAATTATCTCAAAAATTATGTTCAGCTAATCGTAGTCATTTAGTCCTAACGAGTGTAAACGTTAAATAATCTTTTCAGAGCTTCTTGGAGACATTTTGCCGCAAAAACCTAAGGAGACCGACGGTTACGAATGCGTGATCGTCGTGGATGGTACCCCCCAAGTGGGAGCCAATCGCTTTGAGAAGCTCAAATCGGTTGTGCATAAGGTGTTCCACAAGTTTGGCAATATTGTCAATGAATATTATCCTGTGAATGCTGAAGGTGTCACCAAAGGGTATATTTTCCTAGAGTATTCCGATCCCAGTCATGCTTTAGAGGCTGTTAGTCTAGCTAATCACTTCAAGCTCGATAAACAGCATACTTTCCTGGTGAATTTATTCACGGATTTCTCGAAATACGAGGAAATTCCTGATAAATGGGATCCACCCCAACCAAGACCACACGAGGGTCAAGCGGATCTTCACTCCTATCTGCTGGACGCAGATGCATACGATCAATATGCCGTAGTAGTCGGTAATGGGCAGAGTGTTCAGATTTGCCAAAACACATTACCTGAGCCAACTATTATTGAAGACCGCAGCGTAAGTTGGAGAAAAAATATACAGGGAGTTAGGAGAGATTTCTCTGGATAGCCACCGAATTCAATTTATAAAATTTCAAAGCCAAATTTCTCGGGAACAGTTGCGTGTAGCGGCTTCTACCGACCATGTATTATCATGAAAAATTATACCTTCATGAACGGAATTCACTTTGATCAAAACACCCTGTATATCTAAATCAAGTAAATCCTTCAATTTATTAATTATCATTTAATATTTACAGACCTGGACAATGACTTATATTAAATGGTCACCTTTGGGAACATATCTGGCCACTTTCCATAAGCTCGGTATAGCTTTCTGGATTGGTCCAAATTTCACTCAGTACAAGAAGTTCGCGCATCCCAATGTTCAATTTATTGAGTTTTCTCCGTGCGAAAAGTATTTAGTGACGTGCTCTCCGCAAGGAGATCCGCTTAACCCGGATCAAAAAAAGATTATCATTTGGGATATCAGGTGCAGTAATAAAAAATAGTTTTAAAAAGTAAAAAACCAATATTTAAAATTCCATAGGACGGGAGAAGAAAAACGTTCGTTTAACCCTGAAGGTCCATCCAACTGGCCGGTCTTTAGATGGTCTCATGACGATAAGTACTTCGGTAGAGTGGGTAACGACGTTTTGTCGATTTATGAAACTCCGTCGTTTGGTCTATTGGACAAAAAATCAATAAAAATCAACGGGATTCGAGACTTCAGTTGGTAAGTGTATTTTGCAACATCTACATGGTTAGGTAATTAATAAGTTCTGACTGTGATTAGGTCCCCAACTGATAATGTAGTGGCATATTGGGTGGCTGAAGACAAAGATGTTCCGGCCAGCGTGACTCTCCTTGAACTTCCCAACAGGAATGAGATAAGGAAGAAAAATCTTTTTAACGTTGCTGACTGTAAAATTCATTGGCAGAAATCGGGCGACTACTTGTGTGTTAAAGTAGACAGGTACAGATGATTATTAGACGTATATTTGCAAAAAATTAAGTGGCAACATTCGTTTGTAGATATGCTAAGGCAAGGAAGGAAAGAAGCGAAATGAAATATTCTGGCATGTATTGCAATTTTGAAATCTTCCACATGCGACAAAAGCAGGTGCCTGTAGATAGTGTTGAAGTCAAAGAGCCGATTCAAGCTTTCGCCTGGGAACCCGTAGGCACAAAATTTGCAATGATCCATGGGGAATCGCCCACCATAAATGTCAGCTTTTACGAAGTTAAGTAAGTGATCTATCTTTTCCAATATAAGTACAGCGTTGAAACAAACTTAATTTTTTCTAGGGCCGGCCTGGCACCTATCTTGTTGAAGAAATTCGAGAAGAAAGCGTGCAATCATCTGTTCTGGTCTCCCAATGGACAGTACATTGTGTTGGCTGGTTTGGGTAGCAATGGAGGTAATCATCCACATTACACACTGCTTTTATCAATTATTTAAAATAATATGTTGTATTTTCGCAGGTGGATCTTTGGAGTTTGTTGATACCCATGAGTTTTTGGTGATGAACACAACTGACCATTTCCAATTATCCGACGTGGAATGGGACCCGACTGGTAGATATGTTTTCACTGCTGTATCGTTTTGGAAGTGTAAAGTAGACACCGGTAAGCGAATTGAATTTTTCCAGGATTTTAATACGGAATGACTCACAATTTTGCCACAAACTTTTTTAGACAAACGTTTTAGATCAACCGCTTTTTGCGATATTTAGCAAAAATTATTAACATTCTGCTTTGTTTTCAGGATATTGGATGTGGTCATTCCAAGGAAAAATATTAAAAAGGGTGAACTTGGAGCGTTTCGCTCAAATTCTCTGGCGTCCACGACCACCCAGTCTTCTATCTGAAAAACAACAGAAGGAAATCAAGAAGAACTTGAAGAAATATTACGCGCAATTTGAAAGCAAGGACCGCATGCGGCAATCGAAAGCCTCTAAAGAACTGATTGAAAAACGTGCTGCTTTAATGGAGAAATTCAATAAGTACCGGGAGGAACAAATTAAAGCCTGGGAGGAGGCAAAGTCTAGAAGACTGGCCCTTAGAAACAGTAAGTTTACTTATGACACTGTTGTATGTGTATCTAATATATTAACTTTTTCTCACTTTTTTCAGTGGTTGATACGGATGAACTGGACGCGGATTCAGAGAACGTGGAGGAAGAAGTTGTGGAATTTTTTGTCAAAGAAGAAATCATCCCGATTGATTAACAATATCGAGTTCGTGACGAATCCTGGGCAAACTTTTTGTGAGTATTTGTTCGGGAATTTTCCTGGAAAAGTGTGGCCAACGTCACATGTTTCCAACTTCAATAAGACCTGTATTTTGTACAATAGTGTCTTACAAAATAAAATTCTTTTAATATTTCAAAGAGCCACGAGTTAAATATTCATTCCTATCACAGACGCCTTTTTTTCATCATATCGAGTCGTGAACTTTCATTGCCTTAACAGCTTTGAAAAAAATTTAGTTGGATTTACGATTTCAACTAAACATAGGTGTGATACAGGTAAAGTAAACACAGTTTGTACCAAGAGTAGATTTTGGAGCTGGAAAAAGGCAAGGGATAATAGAACAAACGTTAAATATTCCAGATTTATTTAAAGAGTAAAAATATTTTCAATAATTTATTTGAAAAATATGGAATTACATCCTCACATCTTAAATAAGTTATCAGCTAATCGTAGCGAAACAATTGGAATGCAGGTTCGGCCGCGAAAGTAAAAGAATTTCCTCCTCTACGAAATGATGAGCAAGTGAGAAGTCGTTGCAATTTGATTATCCAACCAAACAATAAAAATTTACTTAACAACAAACAATATATGTTTTTAGATGTCTTATTTGTTAAATCACACTTTAGTATCTCATTTATTAATAAAGTCTTTCGTACCTAATTAGTTAGCTACCAAACTACCCGACTATCTTTTATTCTTTTTGATTCTCGGTAATTTCCAGGAACCCTCACCCAAGCTTTGAATATATCTAATTTTTTTCATGCCCCATAACAACCACAACAACCCCACAATTGTACAAATGGCCGTTTCTATGTAATAACCGTCTAAATGCGTCTCGCAGGTTCCGCCGTTTTGAATACATTCCTAAAACCGACCCATTTTATTTCTGCTATATGCAGTTTTCGATAGTGCTTACCTCTTTTTTTGTTATATTTTCGCACTTGTTCTCAATATCGTTTTCTCCTCCAAGACAATGTTTCCAAGTGAGCGGATCAACAAAGTAAAGAGCTAAAAGGGCAGGCCAATTACCGCCTAAGTTTGTTACTGTGTTGAGCAACGTCATGTAAGTGCCTCCTACTGAAGAGTCGCTAATTTTTGCAAAGAACGCCATTATTGAAACATACATTGAATACACGCAGACCTAGAAAATGAGCAAAATGGTTAAAAATGCTTATTCAAAAGAAATTAAGGCTGGTTTATAAATATACTAGACCTGGTGTAAAGCGTAGCAAACGACCAGTAAAATAACGTAAGATGCTGGCATTAGGGTTGCAGCATCAGGAGCTAGTTTCGGGGTGACCCAGACTAAAGCAGCTGCCAATACGCCAAAAAATAGACGATAAGGAATTGCCATTAAAAATATATCCAAGGGCTTTGGACCGGCCGTGTATTTAGCTATAAATACAGGAAGAACTATTTGCACCGGGATCAGTGGAATAGCCACAAGTCCAAGTTTTTCTTTGGGAATGCCTGATTCTACTAGTTTCAGTGTCATTACATTGTCAGTAGCTGAAAACCCAATCTAAAAAATAATTGGTTTAATTTCAATTTAAATGCATTGAAATAATACACAAAGATCTACCTTGCATGTAAGCAATACCAAAGCCAACGTTTGTATAGATGGCAACTTTAGGATGTTCTTCAAGCAAATATATGCAGATTTGATGTCTCGATCATGAACGATTTCATGTTCGGGATCATGCGGCTCGACTTCCCTCTTGAGCAAACCAATCAGAGTTGTAGATATTATGAAAAACCATCCCCAGAAGTAGAAGAAACCGGGCAAAGTTATAATTCCTAGAATTAAGTTCATACATAATAATAGATCTGAAGAGAATACGTAATACCATTTTACCCTCGTCCTGTGGAATGCTTCTTAGGTAGTTATTGCAAAAACTTGTCGATTCAAGCGCCATGAAGACCACATAACTGAGAAAAAAACCCACAGATTGCCCGACACTATTGCAAGTGGAAGCATGTCCAACATTCCTCTTTTTTAGCATTGTCAAAGCCCAACCATCCACTGCAATATCTTGAGTTGCAGCCAGAAAATTCAACGAAAAAAACAATACTGTTAGTATTTCAATATTGGGTAGCGAGTGTTCACTACCGAGCCACTGACTTATGTGGCTTGAAAGAATGAGCATAAAAAACCCTAAAAAAGAACAAACCCGAGTTAACCGACATCGAAACAAAGAAATCTGCTGCTACCTATGAGGTATTGTGTGGGTATTAGCCAGGTTTTTCGTCGTCCCATTCGAGTTGAAAATATTGCATCCACAAGAGGGGCCCATAATAGCTTTAGACTGAATGGCCATGTCACAAAACTAAATTCAGCCTACAAAATTCTGGTATTAAATGATCAAAATTACAACATTTCAGGCAATTCAATAGAAACAAAGCATTGTACATGAAAATTTAGGCACTGCAAAAGTTGACGTGCTGATATAAGTACTTACTCTTGACTTAACGAAAAACGTTCCTGAGGGTGTTCGTTCTTAAAACGTTTGTGTCCAACACTTGGCAGTAACGACAATGGGTCTCATGAATAAAACGTAATTCTTAAAGCAAAACCTTCGAAGTATATGATAAAAAAGTTTGGAGCACTTGCCTTACAACCGAAAGAAAAGCATTTGCTTCACATTAACCAAATACTCAAAGATTTCCCAAACTGCAATATAAAGTTCAAGTGAAGCTTGACCACATCCCTAAACTAATAGGGTGCTGTGCTGTTCTACACAACATTGCAAAAACACTAAGCGAGTCAGACTTTGGAAGGAGTGAAACTGAATAACGGTTTTGAAAATAATGGGGACGATATTAACATAAGAAGTGAAATGCGCAGACGGGAGGAAATTGAATTTTGGGAAAAGGGACTCTACAAATGTGATCTGCTGGTTCTCCCCACAAGTCGTGCTTCTTTGTCGGAGCTCATAGCGTTGCTTATTCTTCCACTCTCACATTATAACTACTACAAAATATGTCTTTTATATTCAACCAGACATCATAGCAAAATACTCTCGTCTAGACTTGTTAAAAGGTGTATCAATCGGTCTAAATAACGAACAATGTTTTTTATTCTACCTTTTGCTATTGATTTTACTTTGTACTTTGAGCAAATACTCCATTTTTATTCATGAGACCTAATAAAACGGATCTACTACCGGCAATTAAGTGAAAAGAACTGGTTCTTTACAAACCCAAAAACCATTAATGTTAGAGTCAAATTTCGTGGCACCACCCGTAACAGTTTGAAAAGAATACCTGTTGCTTATAAGTTACACCTCTATTCTGCAAAATCATGGGTATTGCAGAGCTGAGACCCAATGGTATGCCTTGGAGTGTGTAGAGAAAAAGTAGCAACATAATATTCCATTCATCTCCTTTGATATCACTTCGGGAGTCCTCTATTCTATTGGACTGTCCATTTTCTAGCAGTGAAACCGTGCTTCCACCGTTTTTTCGGCTTTTTCTTTCCATATTTCTAAATACAAACTGAATGTTGAGGTTATTTGTTAGGCCACGTCAGGTAACTGGCATATGTTTAATACAATCACTGGTTGCAATTGCCTTGGTATTTAATGTGTTTTAAACACCATTTAATAAACGCTCGTTTAGATGGTCACTAACTGTTGAGTCAGAGACTTGTCTCTGGTTGAGTTCTGTTTTACTGAAAACATAACTTTGATTGTAATGTACCGTTTTGAAGTATTTGTTTACATTGAGCCAAGCAGGTAACGTTGACAGGAACGAGGATGCTATTCTTGAAACGACAAGTGCTATTCCCGGAATTTGAAGATCCCTGTAGTTTTTGTTAGGTTCGTGAATAACAGAAATGCTGCTGCTTATCTCAATTTAAGCTATTTCTGCGTCAGTCCATAATCTTAATAATCACCTTACCTTAATTTGGGTCAGTGCTTTTCTTCCTACATTAAAGGCCGGAAGGAGCCAAACTAATGTTTTTGTTACTTTTATTACAGTTTTTATTCAAAAATGCTTGTGCGGGTCACACAACGGTTATATTCTAGGTCGAGTAGGCTCATGCTAAAAGTAATAACAATTTTTGCCACCAGTGGCGCGCGCTGTTGAACGTTAATGCACGTCATAGTAATGACAGACGAAATTGTCAAAACGCGAAAAAAACTTGTCTTTATCAGAGACAAGTTTACTTGTCTCTGTCTTTATCTATGACGCGAACTTTAAAGTCAAAATCGAATTCCTAATTTCAGATTTGCATGTGTGTTTTTATGGAAGTGTATTGAAGCTTCAAGTTTACTGTAGATGTGCGGTTTGTTTTTCAAATGCCATTTACTTAGAACTGTCTAGAGCTAGTTTACTTTCAGCATAGAGAAATAAATACATTTCCTAACCGCAATATCGGTTATCAACATGAGAAAGTCTGGAAATCAAAATGGGAAATCATCATCCTCATATGGAAGAGAACTTGGTAAGTAATGCCTTGTGGTTTTCCTGAAATTTCAGTGAATAGCAATAGATTAATTTTAGACCTAATTGGTGTCGCACAGAAAAACATGGATTTGGCCAAAGATAATGTGAAGTTGAGGGCCCAAAACGCGCAATTAACATCCGAATTAGTGTGTATTAAAAATCAGCAATTCCAAGTGCAGGTAAAACATCCATCCACCTTGCCCTAATCAGGGTTGGTTTGATTTTTTTCAAGGGATTTCAATCATGATTTGAGTCATCTGACTTTTTTGGGAAAAAATTACGATTTAAATCAAAGTTCATTTTTTCAAGAAACTTTATATTTCCACTCAAAAAATATAAAACAGAACACAAATAACTCTAAGAAATGAAAATCAAAATAGAAAACGGTACATGTGAACTTAAAAATTAAACGGTATTAATGSTAAACTCAATAATACTAAAACGGAAATCACTTCTCTTTCTCTTCATTTTCGTTATAAAGTCTGAAGAGGAACACTAATTTCCCTCCTTTTTCGATTCCCAATCTGTTCCTGATATCCGAATGAACAAATCCGAATGTGCTGAACATCCTTTCGACAGACGCAAAAGATGCAGTGGCACAAAGAAACTGTTTTATAGTGGGCAAGTGTTTTGCAATTTCCGGTTCATCTCTCTGTTCACCACCACTGAAGTCCGTTCATATTTTTCAGCACATCAGAAAACATAATTTTTTTGAAAGGACTTTAATAACTAGTGGCAACAATCCCGAGTTTCCATGAAGCTCACTGATAGTCTCCAAAGCCAGATTCTTCTCTTCAGAAGTTTAAGCGTAGTTTTGTTTCTCCGGGCTTAACATGTAAGCAATAAAGTGATAAGGTGTAAGAGCTTGTTTATAGCGATGTTGAAACTTCTGTAGTTTCTCTAACGATAAATTTTGAGATTCTTCAAACTTATCTAACAAAAGTTTCCACTGCTCTACGGCATCAGAGCCGTAGATATTGTGGCATTTTTCTTCTGGAGTATATCTAGAGCAACAGCAATATGCTTCAGAAGGCTCAGGTACTCTTGTGCTGCATGCTTCAGTCCTATGTTTGAGACTTTTTTGAAGATGGCAGAATCGATATCAGACTATGAACGCTTTCACGGCCGGTTAAATCACATTTAGGAATGTTTTCCGGGCTTTGAAGCCGTGATCTATGGGAATTTCTTCCTGAATTGATTCAGTTGGCTCAATGCTTTGCAAGTGGGCTCCTTTGGAGTTTTGGTCAGTTGTGGACACTTTTAGTTTCCGGAATACATTACACCCATTACTGCTTGCCCCTGATATTGGTCTAGGGTTAAACATGCGGTTCAGTTTGAACTTTCTCTTATTTTAGCTTCTACCTCTTTAGTAGAACAGACAAAAATAAAACATTCTTAGAGAATAAAAGCACTCGAAACATACCACCAAAAAGGTATAATAATTACTTTCATATTGATTGCATATTACAGAATCTCAAGTTTCGATGGACTAACAATTTTTACATTTTTGCCTCTCGCTTATCGGTCAAGGCTTAAATGATAAAACTGAACTGTAAAAGATGGTTCGTGAGGTGGGCCCTATCTAGTACCTACTTTAAATTATCTTTCGAAAAGATTGCAATAATTCTAGTCATTCAGTTATATTCATATTTGGAGCTCACTAAATAGGCAAAATGCGTTGTTTAGGTCATCAAATAACTATCGGCACGCTGAATTTTAACATGTTAATTCCCTAGCCAGCTATGGATACTCGTTTTGGAGATATACATTTTAAAAGCGGTTCGTGTCGTTCGCGTTCGCTGGCTTTGTTAAAAAAATATACGGTTAATTTTGTTTGTTTGTTGTTTCCGTTCAAAATATTAAATGGAAATAAAAGTAGCTAAAATAATGTTACTTGCCAGAAATCGCACCAAGTTTTTTTCCAGCGTAAGGAAGCTGAATTGAAGAAGAATATCAAAAGCCAAATGCCCCATTTCGCATTAATGGTTACTTACCTAATGGAATATTGCGAATCAGATGTGACTGTCCCTAATAAAATATTTCGTTCTCGTAAGTAACTAACGTTTTCATAATTTCCGAATTAACTTATTGGATTTTAGGAGTATCTTCCAAACAAAATAATTCGACTCAACGTGTGGGACCTCATATGGTCAACGGAATCGTTTTGAATGCGAGTCCGAAGATTTCGTTGACCAGAATGAATCCTGTTTGTTCAAGTGCGGGTTTGTCAAGCACTAGCACGAACAGTATTGAACCGGCACATTCTGAGTCTGCAAGTTTAAGCAGTGCCAACTCTGATTCTTCTGAACACAATGTTAGTGATTAATAAATGAATATATTTTGCGTTTTATTGTATTAGTAGCAGTAAGTGAAAATATTATTCATTGTCTATTTTTTTATTGCGTTATTGTCAGTAAGAGCCCTTTATTTGGCTTCAAATTAGAATATTTAAATTGTTTTGTTTTAGGTGCGAGATGAAGATTTCATATTCAGAACCCATCGGAATCCGTTTGGGACCAGTTCAGATGGTATGTTGATTAACCGCCATCAATATTTTAAAAACCATCAATATTTTATTTTTGTTGTGTTTTTTAGAAGAAATGGAAGTAGAAATCCCAAGTGAAAGCGAAACGTTAAGTAGTGCCGCATCAAGGTATTGTTGGAATTGTTTTAACCATATAAAATGACGCTGGTGCTGGTGTTTAAGTGAAACTATTGACTAACTATTGTTTTATGAACTTTTCAGGAGCAATCTTAGTACTATTCCTGAAGGCAGTGAGCATTCAATATCCAACTGTTATGATGGGGTAAGTGTAATTATCATCAAATCAATTAAATGCCACCAAAAACGTTTTTTAATGTTATTAAATATTTATGAAATTTATTCAGCTGCACATTACGTTACCGAAAATGTCAAGTGAAGAGATGAGAAGAAACAGTTTCAAAAGTATAGATTCTTCCATGGAGGCTGAGGCAAGCAATTCTTGTCTTAGTTTCGAAGCAAGCGCAATTGAACATCCGGGTGTTCAAGACACAAGAGAAAGCAGGAAAACGCGAAACATGACGTTCTCGCCCGATTTCAATTCTAGACGGGTTGTGAACGAAAATTCTACATTGAAAGAGGTGATTGAAATTATATTTGATTAATAAATTTCCATTTCTTAGTGACTATTGATTATAATTTTCTATATATTTTTCGAAGATGCAACCTATAGAGCCCGCCAGGACTAACCATTCTCAAAACTCCCAGGTGAACTTTTAACTTAGCATTCCCAAATAATAACAATTAATTAAAAAAAATTGTAGATGGAATCTATAGACTCTGTCGCGACAAACTGTTCTTCAGGCTCCCAGGTAAACGATTAAAATTATACCATTTACACGTTTGATTCCAACTTTGTGCGGAAAATAAAGTTTCCTTTTTCTAGTTTTAAAAAATTAGTAGATGCTTGGTAGCATGTTTTTCGCACCTATTAAAGAATTGGGGCGTTACTTAACTGATATGATTTAAGGGGCAACTTAATCTAGATTCTAGATCCTGATTTTAGAATTAAGATTCTTCTTCAATTTTTCAGGACATGTCTACGTTCGCTTGCTTACCAACCCCTTCGATGTCCGCTCTAGGAGACATTGACGGAAACTATTCTCGGCTAGATATTCTATTCGAGTTAGTACAATTTATGTATTTATTTTAACTGCTTGATTTTTATATTATTTTTTGGAAGTTCGGCAATGACATCGACTCCAACAATAGCCAATAATCACACAAACGAGCATTCATCTCTTCTTTCATCAAAAGGAAAGAGTAATTCGATGCGAGGTAGCACCAAATTAGTTAACCCGAAAAGTGGAAGGTAAGTAATTATTTTGTTGATTGTAATAAGTTAAAATACTACAACTTTTTTGTTTTCCTTTTTACTTATGGCTTGATACCCAATTAATGTTTGATCCTATTCTATTCCAGGCGTCGAATACCAATAGTAGTTTTAGAGAATTTGCCACTTTCCTCAAAGCGATTGCAACTTGGCGACGATACACAAACAGAGTTAGAAAACAATAGCCTTGATACCATAAGTGGAAGTAATTCTAACTCAAACCTATCGGATAAGACTACAAAAAGTAAGAGTAAATCCACGAATAAAGGCAAGAAACGTAAACTGGTAGAGGACGGTGATGAGACAAGTCAAGTAGTACCGAAACACGACCTTCCATCAACTAGGTAAGCAAATGTTAGTCGATTCCAAAATGATTGTTGTTTAGTTCAGTTTTAATCATCTTATTCTAGTCATTGCTTGGTATGTGATATTGTGATATATTGTCTATCGATTTGTCATCGTCAGAACGTTTAAATTGATAAACAGGATTATTGAGAAAAACTTCCGTTTTGTTCGCAATGTTATTCTCTGTTTTATTAATAAATCATTTAGAAAGTAATATTATCTTTGTAATTTTCCAGCTCTTTAAGCAGGCCTCAAAGATTAGCAAAACCCACAGATCTAAAGGAGATGGGCTTGAAACAGTAAGTTTTTTTTTATCATAGTATTATATTTTAAATTCACACGTTTTTCATATTTAGTTTGTTTATGGAATAGTTTCCTTCAAAAAACCTTAATTTAAAAAGTCTTCTTTAGAAAAACAAAGCTGTACATTGTCTTTTACCTCACTTACACCATTTGCAAGTAAACTTGCTAATACTGGATTGGACAGAATTATCATTTTGCCACAAGCAGTTTTTTACATTTTAAGCGCTCGATTAAATTATATATCAAAATATAAATAGTAAAATTGATATGTAGACGTATCAAAATTAAGTTGGTCTTTAACGTATATTGTTTATTCCAGAAAATTGAGACGAACTTAGAATCTCATCTTCGTATCTGATCCTAATTGGAATAAGTATCACTTATTTTGTACACTTATTCTTGTAACATCGTGAAGTTCTCTACATATGCAAGTTTTTCTCTTTAATGCTCTTTAATAATGGTTATAAGCAGTTGACAAAATTAACAAACTCAACAAATGACAAAACTCGTGAGTTATTCGTTATTCGGATGTGAAGAACTTGAATATTAATGAATGAAAAACGGGCTCTTTTTAGTTTTTTTTGTGGAACAACTTTTTATTTCGCAATTACGGCTTCCTTATGTTTATACTTTATATTTTATATATTTAAAAATTCAAAAAATATACGTGGGAACCATTTTTCAAGAGTTGATTATTAAAAACACCAAAACTAAATTGTATATTTATTTTTGTACCTGTTATTTTGATTTATTTGAGTTATTTTTGGACTTACTATTTTTGTGTTTCTCAGATGTACATGGTTACTTTTTAGTTTGGGACACTCTAAACATGTCTCTTCAGTATAAAATTACCTAGTCGGTATGTTTTATACAAAAAGTAAACCATATAATAAATTTTTATGATTAATTAGCTGCCTTTTTCTGCAATGTTAGACCCTTTTAGTATACATGCACTTTTTTGTTAAAAATATTACCTACTATTAGAAATAATATAATAATTGTTAGCTATACCGCACTGAAATGTATATTTAATTGGTTAATTGATTACTTGTTTAGCAATATGTATGCATGCATGCATGTTGATTTTTCGATTAGGATGTATTTGATAAACTTGATCAGTACAATAAATTATTAGTAAATTGAGAGCCAACCTTTAACTTAATAAACACTGTATTGTTTCATAATGCTTGATATGTATTAATTTCCAGCTTTTTAACCACAACTATATCAAAATGTAGTTTATAATCAACTGTTTAAGAAATCACTAAATTTTAATAAGTCTGACTAATTTACGGATGAATATCAAACCGAAATAATTAGTTCTTAGTTCGAGTAATTATGGCTAATTAAACGAATAACGTACTAGGCCTAGAGGAAATCAGAGCATAAAACACGCATCACCTATTAATATAAAAATATTATTAGCTAATTAAATTCGCCAGGAAGCCATTAGCAGTAGTATATGTTGGACCTAATTGTGTGGTCGGGAATTGTAATTATGTTTTTAAATATTTTTACTTTCAGATGAATGTGATTATTTTTTATCTGCTCATTGTCTGATATGTTCATATAAGAAGGTTTCTAAAATACCACAAGGGATGCTTTTCAGTGGAACAAATCAGATTTAATTTTAAAAAGAAACTTTTTGTCTTAAAACAATGAACTTGCAAGAAATGTAATAAAAACAGAAACACACCGACAATGAGCGTTGTTGCAGTCGGATTTATTAGTTTACATGTCTACGGCAATCAGAGTGTGAACTGTTAATTTTCGAAAAACGGTCTGCATGGTAGCTTCATCTGGATTGCCTCGATCAGATCTTCATGTTCACTTGCTTTCCGCTTTGCTGGCCAATTTGTGCTTTTATTAGCCGTGCTCGCTTTTGCATTCGTAAAAAACTCGTTGCTTCGAATAATATGATGAAGCGTGTAGCACTAAACGCGATATTACGTTAAAGATTGCGCAATTATAATTTTATTGATACGTGCAGTGAAAACTAATAGTCTTGCTATTATGGTTGTATGATTTTAAAAAAGCAAAAAGCAAACGATTGAAAAGATAACAAATGTATACTTAAATGTTTTGCTTTTCATTGTCGTGGAGAGAAAAATCACATTTTAATAAATAACTTTGTTATTATTATGGGTATAACCGCACTGCCCTTTATGCTGTTGCCCTTTGTCGCATAATAAATTTTTCCTGCATGGTATGTTTAGCTTTGGCGTTTGTTTTCTTGCCTCTGTTGTTTGCTTCTTTTTTCTAGCATAATCTCCTTGTTGATTGATTTCGTCAAATGCTAGAAAATTATTGTTTATTGTAATCTAGTATAATAATTGTTTCTGGTATACCTTCAAGGTATGAATGTTCATAGGCCCATTCCCTTTGAGGAATAGCTGGTCTACAAATCTTCTCATCAATTTTCGTAAATCTAGACAAAGGGATTTTAGCTCTTCCTTCCCTAAGGTGCTGATCAACTGCTATTCTGGTTTCTCTAGGGAATTTAATCCGTTCCGCAATCAAGCTCGTTTCTGTTGCTTCAGACCATTCATAATCTGTTCATTTATAGAATACATAACATGTTTAAAACATATTTGCCAATTTACCGCTTTCATTCGGACGAGCATTAGTTGAACTTTCAAAACGCGGACAGTTGGTCCGGATTGTGTTCATCATTCCTATGTACTTGCTATTGATTTCCTTTTTATGTTGGATATGTGGCATATACTGAGGATGGCGCGGTTCAAAGCATTCACTCGCTTTTCTAGAATATCTCGAATCGGGTAATTTTGGGGTTTTCAGCACTTTATTCAGTTTTTCCACTTGTGTTTGTACAAATGTTTTTTCATTCGACTTCAACTTTAGCGCGCTATTGTTCATTTGAGTGCTGGTTTTTGAGGACTTTTGTCTAAAACGAAAATAAAGATAAATTTTTTACTGTTTAAAAATGATACAAATGTTTGGCATTTTAAGCTAATTACTTTGAATTTCTATTTMATAATGTKTTTTTTTTGGGAAATTGCAACAAGGCTTGACTCGACAGGAAATTTAATGAACTGTTTATATTTTATCCGCCTTATTTATCAAGAACCTGAAAACCTGCTCAAGTTATTTTTAAATGAACTTGTTATGCATATTATTCTAGTTGTTCGAGCTGGTAAATAATTTTCATTGTTTTTTTCTGCAATTTTATCAAATTTTYATAGGAGACCAAAGAAAAATTAAAGTAGCAAAATTTCAATTTATAATTCAATTATGGTTAAAATTATTTTTATTTAAAAATTCGGTTTGATTAAATTTGAAATTTATGTACTTGCACTCAGGTGATTTATCTTTATTAATAATAATTTCTACAATGAAGGCACAAAAATCTTATAAACAATCTGAATATCATTACTTTCATATAAAAAATATTTTCAGTTCAACTTTCTGAAAAGTGTAGTTTTAGTTACTCCGAAAAAATCAATTTTATTAAATTTTTCCTAATGGTAAGCAAGTGCACAAAGGAAAGATATTTCGACTTTATTATTATTACATATTTTAAATTAATTTTTTAATTTGCGAGTCTTCTTGGCAAGGCTCAATTAATGTGTGTAGTATTCTTATTTATATTTAATAAAATGTTTTTAGTAACTCTAGTTCTCCTACCGTCTCGGTTCCCTTTTTTCGCAACTGCGAGTTTCCAACACTTTATTAGGAATATTGGCCTCAAATTGCTTTTTTTTGCAGTTTAAAACATCTTTTGTTGGAACTTCTTCTAAAAAACTATCCGTCGAAAACTGCGACCACACATCCGCATTTCGTTCTTCTTTAATTAGGCGGAAATTTGTGGAATCGATTTTAGGGCATCTACACGATTGTGAACTTTTTTTCTTCATTTGGACGGTAGATTTAGCGGGCCATGGAAGGCCGGTAGTGCTGGTTTTTTTGTCCATTTTTTGAGGTGCACCCACATGTTCGCTTTGCTGCAAGCATAAATTCGGGTGTACTTTCGGATGGGTTGGAAACATAATTTACCTTAACTGTTGCGTTTCTGTTCTGTTGCTTCAAATTGAAACTCACACTGAAATCAGTCCGCACCACTTCATCTTTTTCAAATAATTGCTTTTTGCTGTTTTTATATTTTCGTCTGCCCTTATTTGGAAACGTTTTGCTTTCGTGCATTTCGTCGGAATCGAGATTTTGAAGCAAGCTTTTCATCAGCTTATGCCTTGGAATGTTCTTGCCCAATTGGCACGTTTTGCTGTTTCTGTAAATAGTCTGAATTGAACTGTTTTGACTCATTGGAGTTTCCAATTGATTAGCCGGTGTGATTTTGCGAAAAGTTTCAATAATCCGCTTTCCCGGAGTTGATCCTAATTGTTTCCCAGTATTTTTCGATGGCATTGACTTGTTGGTTTTAAGTTCTCTGGAACAGGAAACCGATTAAAGCATTAAGGAAATGACGAGATAAACTATCGATTTTACAGGCACGTTTCAGTTCGATTTCTGCAGCAGCTTTTGCAAGCTTCTTCTGGATATGCTTTAATCTTTTCTTCGATTCCGTACAATTCTTTAGGCTTTTTTAGGTCGAACGGTGGCCTGTTGCTGAATTTATTCACCATCAATCTGCGTTCAAAGTTTCGGTCTCTGTGCATAGCCTGGATACCGCAAAATTTTTGATTTTCTGTGGTTAATAAAGCAATACATTAGTGAACTATTTGAGGCACTGACAGAATCAACGTTTAAACATTTTTTGACGCACCACAAATCGGTTTAGTGTTAGTCACTTAAACCACAAAATACAGACTTTTGTGGTCCACTGAAGATACATCGCTTTGTATGCAGATGAAACTGTAATTTATATTGTGCTCCAAATTTTCCCTAATAAATAAGACGAAAACGCCGAAATTAATATGCCTGTTTGCATTAATCATACACCAAAGCATAAATCGCTGTTGCTACAGGTTGATTTTACAATGCTATCATTGACCTTAAAATTATGAATTTTATTCGGTCAGAGAATTGGTCAGCAGAACTAATTGCCGGTTTGTAGGCTTAATTAATTGGGATTTGGGCAAAACAGAATCAAATCTCTAGTCTTGAATATTTGTGATGGTTCGCAAGTAAATGTGAGTGAGTAAATTCGTCCATCTAAATTTGTTGATTCGTATAAAAAATCCTCTTTTATGGAAAAACTAAATTAGATAATTTAGTTTTTTTTAATGAATTATAAATGAACCTCTTTTAAAACATTGAAAATAATTCAAAATCAGCAACTCAAAGTAGGTATGAATAAGGATTACGAGTTTCGTTCAGTTTTTTGAAGGCTCTTTTTCATTTACATGTATTTAGTGATTTTGTAATTAATTATATTTAAAAACATCTGATTGCACTCGTGACTCTTTAGTTTTTTTTATATTGTCATTATAAATAATTTTAATTTAAATAGGATTCTGAATTTCTTACGCAGGCAACTTGTGTGTTACAAAACATATATGCCTTGATTCATTTTTTCAATTAGTTTTTTCATCCTTTTTAACCGATTGGAATTCGACGAACACCTGATAAATTTGCGAAAACTGGTTAAAAACAACAATAATACGAAACAGATATGTTTTATATATAATTACGTTTTTAAATCGATACCGTAGTTTACTGGGCAATTTTTGCTTAAATTCACTTTTTAATTCTAATCTTTGTTCATTTCGACTCATCGTAAATTCGTTTTACCATTTATTTTTGCTTAAAATTTGAGTGTTGCATATGTTCGTTTTTATTTTTTATTACTGTTTCATTGGACATATTTTTATTTTCAATTCAATTTAAATCGATTCTTGTGAATAGAATATCAAATTGTATTTCACTTGAAATTTGTTTGATTATGATTCCTGACAAATTAATACATTTTTCGGAATTTTCAGTAATTGCATGGGTTTTGTATTAATTCTAGATTTAAGGAGTGAAAGTTTAGCAGAGAAAATTAGATTCAATTTGTTTATTTTCTATATGGTGCATTCGTCTTCAACTTAAGAAAAAACTTGGTTATATGAAACCGAGAACGGAATCAAAACTGTCCTTGGACGTTGGAAAAATTGAAAATTAGAGCATTTAATAAAAGATAGTTAATAATTGATCATAAAAATAGGAAGACAGCCAAAAAGTTCACCAGAAGAATAACTTAATAAAGAAAATAATCGGGATTAATACATGAAACGACGAAAATTACTCTAAATAACTCACCTAAATCAACTTATCAAAACTAGACTTTTGAAAACCCATTTCCCTCTTAAACAGTAACGATTTTACATTTGCTAGTCAGGTCAACAGTCACTTTGTCAACTGTATGTGTCATTTATATATTACTTTTTAGAAATCACCTGTTCTATTTTGATATTTACTAAATAGGGTGATTAAATTATTGATCAGTTAAATCAGGAAAACGAGAGGCGAAAAAACTTCAAAACATGAGTAGAGAAGTCCATATAAACATGCCTGCAAACATTTACTTTTCCATATACGGCGAGTCGAAAATTTAAAAAAAAGTTTTGTATTTCCTTTCTAACTTTTACAGTTTTTATGATATTTGCCTCAACTCTGGGATTTGAATATTTCAGTGTCAAGCGGTTCCAGGAATGTACAGGGATCATGGTTTTTTATCTTGCACCACTGAACTGAACGATATTTTTTAAATTAATTGTAGGATATAAAAGAATTCTTGTCTTGTGGGTTTTTTTCGAATCGCTCACTGTTTTTGAGTTATTTCTGTGAATTGAGTATCTTTTGATTTATCTATCTATATAATAGTAGAAATAAAATATAAAAACTGTGTCGCCGGAAAACGCATTTGAGTGACCATTTGCAGTAATAATTTCGAAATCGTGTCAAAAACCTCCAAAAAACATCTCAAAAGTCTCACAAATGTGACGTTGAAGCAACGAATATAGAAACTACGTTTACAAAACATGATTTAAACATCATTTTATAAACGATTTAAATGTTGAGTTGAGAAATATTTTCAAAAATTGCCAGTTGAAAAGGAGCGCTTTAAAGTGAAAACGTTGCGGATTGAACTTTCAAATAAAATAGTTTTTTCAAATATTTCATGAAGCTCCTGTATATGTCTTGAAGGGACATACAAAGGGCCCAATAAAAACTGTTTTTTCTTCAATAACGTTACGCCCCTGAAAAAGGAGTAACTGGCGCCGTTCCCTCACCCTATTTGAAGCAGAAGAAGGAAGAGTCGAAGTAAAAGAGAATGTTTAGTTTTCCGGCAAACCAGACTTCCCAGACGGTGTTAAGTTCTGTTAAGTTCTTCATTCGTGTTCGGTACGCGTTCGTTTTCAGTCAATATTGGGATTTCGGGCGATTCGCCGTAGTAGTTGCGACTTCGTCTGGTATCGAACCGTTTTGCCGGCACACACGGGGTGTTGTTTCCTGGTTTAGGGGTGGATTTGTCCAAGTTGATTCTCAGTTGAATAGTGAAAGGAGATATTTAAGATTCAGGTAAGTTTTTTCAAGATTTTTTCCGTGTTAGTTGCCAATGCATAAGTGTCTTAGGACAACTTGGCCACTTGGCTAACAGTGAGAATAAATATGCGACTACGGATATACAGAATTTTTCATAAATCGCCATTTACACTCGAAAATTGCCTGATTCGAAGTAAAAAAATCGCTCAAATATTAAGCATGTTTGGAATATTTTCACCAAAAAATCTTTATTTTGTGTGGAATTTTAAATCTCGTTAACAAATTTTGGCAGGTTTGAAAGTATCTCCAGTTTAATTCATTTAATTTTAGTTTCTTAAATTTGTAATTTAATAGTTGTTTTAATTTTCGGCCAATTAACAATACTAACTAATCAGCTTCTTGAAACAATCCCAATAAATTAGTTAATTTAAATAACCCGTTAGAGCCTTATTGGCAGGTAGCGACTAATCAGTATTTAGGATCATCATGGGGTCATTAAATTAAATACACACTAATTACATCCAAAGAACGGTAAACATAGTTTGAGAGTAAACGACCTGGTCTGAATTCCCATTCTTTACATTCGAAATAAGCAGCAGTTTTTTTAGTTGCGAATTTGATGTGGACAAAAATACCCAACTTCGACTGGAGTGAGTTTTGTATGTTTGAAAATTGATAAAAGTTCACTTTTGTAGATATAGTTAATTAAAAATTGTTAAGACATTTTTCGAAATAAAAGCTGCTGCATTAAGGAAAAATGTCATTAGAAAACGTATCAATGAACGTGTTTTCAAATGCTCACTATCTGCTGAAACGTTAAAAGAAAATACAATCAAAACAAGCAAAAACATCGAACCAAGAGATGTTTTCGATCAAAACAGACGACCTTATTAAACTATTACTTTGGATTAAAAAGAAAAAATGAAACTATACTCGTGTTAAAGTCAGTGTGAAGAAGGAATAAAAAATCGAAAAAGTTTTATTTCTAAACTGCGGAGTTTTTCACGTTTTTAGACCGTCGCTTACTGACGTTTCGCAAGCTCGAGCGGCTTACGAAAACGACCTAAAAGCCCGAAAAACTCACCAGATTCAAACAATGGCTGTAAACGACCGCATTCAATTTATTTATATTTCCATTTATGTTCTTCTTGAATTTGGTGCTTTTATTTTATTTACACTATTAAATTATGAATTAAACATTGTTTTACGATTGAGCAAAGTGCGAAAAAATTTAGATTGCAGAACTTTTTCACACTGACTAATTTTTTTCTAGTATTATACAGTATACATTTTACGACATCGTTTTTTTCAACTTAACATCTTTATAGCATCCTCTATTGCCTGCCGAGGGACTATAAAATACAACTGCAGAAAAACCACCGTTTTCTTACTAGGTTGAAACCTTTGTTCTTTGCATGTCCAGGAAGTCATATGCTGAAATCTGCTTTTATTAACACCATTAAACAGAGACCAATTCGATGTAAAACTGACACGAATAACCGCTGTGAAAGAAGCGCAACTTTTATGGATTCCAGCTAAATCTTTAGTCATTCGGAAAAAACATTGCTGAGTTACTGTTGCGTATTATTAGAACTACTTTTCAGTTCACGAAAGCAATTTTACGTTGTAAATGAATGGAAATGAGGAATCAATGAAAAACATTGAAAAAATCTTCTAAATCTACTTTTTTCAGTCTAAAGAGATTGCAACATAAGCAATTGAAAAAGCCCCAGTATAAAAAAGCGTCAAAAAGTTGCTCATTTGATCAACCTATTGACCTATTGAAAAAAAAGTCGATTTAATGATTTTACTTTTACTAACTCGAAACTCATAGACCTGAAAAACTAATCTCACTCCCTGATTTAAGTAATAAAAGTTTTCTTTATTTTTATTTCTTCTTTGTGATGCCTTTGCTTCAACTGCTGTTTGAAAGAATCATCGTGTGAAAGAAAAAATGTAAATAATATGGAAATAATGCAAAAACAAGATTTAATAAAGAAAAGTGCGTTTTGAGATTGAGACACGTTTCTCAGAATGACCCAAGCTTAAGTATGTAGTACGCGCATCGAGTATTAAATAGCATTCTGATATTTTTAGACCTCTCAGACTCATGTCCTTGAACTTGCCTACCAACTTCGAATGTGAGGACATTTTCCATTCTCACGTCTTTGTTTGGTGCATATTTTTAGATAACCGAGACTCCAATTAATAAATAACGACGGGAAAAATGCAAAATTAACCATTTTCTTGAAGAATATCCACTTTTTGCATAGTGTCTATACGTTCTTTTAAAAAACAGTTCTATTTAACAGATTAATAAAGTTACCCTTTCATACGGCATTAACTGTAAAACTTAATAAATTTTAACTGTGAGTAAATCTATGCWCAATGTTTTTCGAGTCTATTTAATAAGCATCTGCGATCTCATTTAGTCGSAAAACAATATTTTGCAATAAAAGAGTAAACAACTACTTTAAGGACTGTTTTACTTACCCATAAAAATCTGGTGAATTTCTGGTGAGTACTGAAAACGGATGCAGATATTACCAACCGAAACGTTGCGATAAAATATCTTTGTTTCAACTCTATTCAATTTCAATGTTGTCTTTATATTTACTTAGTGAAGGTGTTTATTTCTTTACGTGTTTTCATCAGAGATGCAGTAAGACCAGAAACTTGAAAGTCACCACGCATAAAGATGTGCTTATTTCATTCCGACTAAAGGCTCTTGTGTTATCCAGTTACTTTTTATCATACTTTTTTCCAAGTTGATAGCATCAGTGTCTATTGTCTTCCAACGAGCGTCGTTTTAACAATAAAGAACAAGCGAGTAAAATGGTTTTCTTCGTATCAGAAACCTTTGTTCTGTGCAATTTCCGAAAGTCATGTGCTGAAATTTGCTTTTATTAGCACCGTTAAACAAACACATTTCGATGAATAAACGGACAACAATAACCATTGTGACAGAAGCGCAACTTTCGTGGGTTCCTGCTAGATGTTCTAGTCATTCGGAAAAATTTGCTTGGTCACTTTTTCCACTTGCATATACAGCAAGTCGTTTAAATGGTTTTTAAGGTGAATTCCTGCATCAAATCACCTAATCCATTGGCAATGTGGGTGCATTTCTGATCTAAAACCCACCATTTTACTTGGGGGTTATTCAACATCAAAAGCTTTAACAATAAATAAATGATGCAACGAAAAGTGCTGGAAAACCCAAACCGAGCCTTCATTCTAAGCCCAACTAACCATAACTATACAATTAATCGATTTTTTAGTTTTTATCGGGATTTTATTGTATGCGGGATTAGGCGGCTTTCGCCAATTACGAAATAAAGTGCATATTGGATTATTATGCTGTAAATTAAGTACCTACATCCATTTATTTTACGATTTTCGAATTGCAGATATTCAGCCTTATCAGCCTGATTCAACCCACGAGTATTTTATAACTATTCTACTCTTAATATTGGGCTTGGGGGGTAAGATTGATAAGATAGTCTGAGTCTTCATTACCATATATTCCGGAAATTAACACAAAAATAAAAAATATATTCAAACCACATAATATCAACATAGCAGAAAAAACTAAAAACACCTTA